AATAAGTCTTCTGTATTGGGTTGGATCGACATCTTCTTCTTCTGAATCTTTTGACAGTTGCGACCTTGGTACAACAAGTTTCAAAGTCGAGTTGCATTTTTTCATCTCAAATCTCATGAGAATTTCTCTTGTATATCTTCTTTGATGCATCATCAAACCTCTATCACTCTTGTAGAGTTCAATGCCAAGGAAATATGAAATGTCACCCAGATCAGACATTTCAAATTCCTTGCTTAGATCACCTTTGAAGTCTTCGATCTCCTTCTTGTAGCTACCTGTTATTAACATGTCATTGACATAGAAATATAGTATAAGTAATTCACTATTGCTTCGTCTTACATATACTCCATGTTCAGTTGTGCACCTCACAAATTTCTTCTCCCTTAGAAAACTATCAATCTTCTTATTCCAAGCTCTAGGAGCTTGTTTTAGTCCATACATGGCTTTATGCAGCCTGTAAACCTTTCTCTCTTCGCCATACTTCACAAACCCAACTGGTTATACAACATAAACTTCTTTGTCTAAGGTTCCATTCAAGAATGCACACTTTACATCCATTTGACATATGTTCCAACTATTCATTTATGCTAGACTAATAATTAACACAATTGTTTCGATTTTAGCCACAGGTGCAAAGACTTTATCAAAGTCAATTCCTTCCTTTTGAATAAATCATTTCTCCATAAATCTTGCCTTGTGTCGAGTTACTTCTCCTTTGGGATTCAACTTCACCTTGTATACCCACTTCACATTGATTTCCTTCTTGCCTTGAGAAAATTTTATAAGTGATCGGGTGTTGTTGTCTTCGATGGAATTCACTTCTTCATTCATTACTTTCACCCACTTCAAATCCTTCAATGCTTCAGCTGCATTGACTTGTTCGACATCTGTATAGAAAGCATAATGTACCAATTCATCTTCATTATCGACCACATTATCTGATAATCACACAACCTTGCAACCCTGCAAGCACGTGTCTTGTTCTCTGAAGTCTGTTTGTACCTAGTTGATCTCTAACTTCCTCTTGTCGAACTTCTCTTTCGACTTGAATTTCTGATTCTTCAAGTAAGATTATCACTGAATCTTTCTTGATATTTTCAGTCAAATATCATTCTTTAAGCTTATCTATGATCACGTCCATGCTGATCAAAATCTGCTTGTTTATTGGGTCGAACAACTTGTAACCTCGTGTCAAATGATATCCTACTATGATCATCTGACTCGGCTTGTCATCAAGTTTTCTTCTTAACTGATATAACACATGTTTATATGCAATAGATCCAAATACCTTCAGATGACTCAAGCTAGGATTCACACCAGACCAACATTCTTCTGGCGTAATTTCTTCTAGCTTCTTCATCAGATATCTGTTCAAAATGTATGTTACATTCAACATAGCTTGACCTCGAAACTCTTTAGATAAATTCTTTCCTTTCAACATACTTCTCACCATATTCATGATGGTTCAATTCTTTCTTTCTACAGTTCTATTCTGCTGTGGAGTGTAGGATGGCACCGCCTCATTCACAATCCCTTCTTTTTCACATAATTTGTCGAAGTCTTTCAACACATACTCTCCACCATCATCAGTTCTCAAAACTTTGAGCTTTCGACCATAGATTTAAACTTGGAAAATATCTTGATCACTTCACTTTTCTTCTTGATCAGGTAAGTCCATAATTTTCGACTTAAATCATCTAAGAATGTGACAAAGTATTTGTTACCTCCATTGGAATCCACTTGGATTGGTCTGCAAACATCAAAACATATGACTTCAAGGATTGCCTTCGACTTGCTTCATGCATCCTTGCTAAAACTGTTCTTGTGTTGCTTCACATGCACACATTTCTCACACACCTCATTTGGAATGTCAATTTTTGGCAATCCTGAAAACATATTTCTTTTCTTCAAATCTATGATGTCTCTGAAGTTGAGATGACCTAGTCGATAGTGCCATATCCATTCGCCTATGCTAGCTGCAGTCGAAAGATACTTGTGCTTCATCACATTAAGTTAAATCTTGAAGGTTCTATTTTTGGGACATATGAGCCTTCAAGATTAATCTTCCTCTTGCGTCGACGACTCTCATCATCTTATCTTTGACCAACACTTTGTAAATATTTTCGACCAACTGCCTTATGCTGAGCAAGTTGCTCCTCGTTCCTGATACGTACAACACCTTAGAAATTACTAACCTTTTTCCATCTTTCCTCATAATCAGAACATCTCCAATACATTCAGTTGCTAGAGTATTGTCATTTACAAGTTTTACCATGTTCTTCATTGAGAGTTTTAGGTTGACAAACCAATATTTCCTTCCAGACATGTGGGATGAGCATCCTGAATCCAAGTACCATTGATCCTTGAACTTTATTGATCTTTTGATGTGACCATCAATAACATCTCTTCTTCTTCTTCATACTTTACGAACTTTATATCACTTTCTTGATTCTTTCGCTTTTCTAGAAAATCACTAGAATAATGACCATACTTCTGACAATTGTAACACTGAATATGAATCTTGTCAGGTTTTCGACCATAATCTCTTCCTCTATTAGCAACACCACATCTTTGGTTGCCTTGGTATGGTCTTCTTTGATTTGATACGTTTTCTTCGTGCTCGTTTCCTCTACCAGTCGAATTATTGTAGCCACGTTTACCTTTATTGTAAAACCACTTTCCTTTGCCTTTCTTGTCTCTTGTTGCGCTTGCAAAGCCATATCACTCTTCGACTTTCCTGTAGCTCTTTCAACCATTCTTTGTTCATGATATTCAAGTGTCCCTTGAAGCTCTTCCTTCGACAAAGTTGACATGTACTTCGACTCTTCTATGGCTACCATTATGTGGTCGAACTTTGGAGCCAAAGATCTCAGGATCTTTGAAACAATTGCTCTTGTTGTTAACGTCTCTCCACAAACTTTGATTTGATTCACTAGTTTCGTAACCCTAGTGAAGAAATCAGATATGCTCTCGATATCTTCCATCTAAAGCAATTCATACATTCTTTTGTGAGTTTGTAACTTCACCTTTTTCACCTTTTCCGCACCTCCGAAAGATTTTTCAAGAATCTCCCAAGTTTTCTTTTGCATATTCTATATCACTAACATTTTCAAAATTTTCTATTAGTGAATTATAAAGAGAGCTTTATAATTATTCTTCTCCAATTCTTTGTGTGTTGTCTTTTCTTTGTATGTTGCCTTTTCTGCAAGTAGTTCTAATCCTTCTTTTACAAGATCCGAAAGACCTTGATAACAGAATATAACCTTCATCTGTTTGCACCAATTCTCATTGTTATCACCTTTCAGAACTGGAAGACTTGTTGGAAAATTTCCATTCACATGATTCATCGCCATTGTGATTTTCTTCTTCTTCTTCCCTTAATCGCTCAACGGAGCTCCTGATACCAGATGTTGGAAATCTACCAAAAACTATGATGAATTTCTATCAATCTTGATGAACAAGATTGTTATCACCACACAATGACAATGAAAAGAAAAAAAATTAAAGAAGAAAAGAGATTTAAGGTTTCTATAAAGTTTCTCTCTATCCACAAACTGTAGAAAATTTTCTTATTCACTTGCAACTGCAAATTCTGGGAATATTCAATGTTATGAGTTTATTACAAAAATATGGATTACTACTCCCTCTATTTATATTTGAGTTTGTTTCATCACTAAGCCAAAAAGCCCAAAACTATAAAAATAACTCAAACTTCCTATTTTAGACCTAAATCAAAATTTTGTGGAAAACAACCTGTTTGGACACTACAACTCGACATACACATTTCGACAGACTCAACTAATTCGACACAAGAAATTATATTTTCAACAATTTTAATTAATTTTTTAAATATAATTTACCGTTATTGTTAAGTTATTATATATTATATAAATTATTGATATAAAAAACTTGAACAAAATTAAAATTATTTAATATATTATTGAGATCTAAGAAACAAAAGTATTATGTAGTTTTATTGAACTTATGTTGAATGATTGTACGATTTATTTTAATATTGATTAAATAAATTATAAAATATTTTAAAAATATAGAAACCATAAAATGTATTAAAAGGTAAAAGCTTAAAATATATTTTTTTTAATATTATAAATTATTTTTTTATCATTTGTTGCACTCATTAAAGAAATTATCTTGATCCACACTAGTTCCTTCAACTACCAATTAAATTGAATTAACATCAACATTCATTTTTTAGGTTTATTATCGGAACTATCCCTTTTCTTAAATATATTGTCATTATAATATTTGAATTTATTAAAATTCTAAACACATATTTAAATTTTGTATCAATAATTAAAAATATAATATTTGAAAAATGATTATTTATTTAAAAAATTATTATCTTATAAATATTAATAACTTGTTGACGACATCATATAAACAATTAATTTTCTGACAAACTTACAACTTGAACTACCCTATCCAAAACAATAAAACTAAACACACTCATACTATACTAACATGAGTAATTCCTAAAATATAAAAATGAATTTATATTTATTTTTTTAATAATTTTAGTATATTCGCTTCTATTATGATCACACCTCCACATATTTAAAAGAATAAAGTCACAATCCGTAAGACATATCAGTTTTATTTTATGCAAAAAAAATTTATACATAATTTTTTAAATATGATTTTTATTTTTATTCAATAAAATTGATAAATATATTTAAAAAATTATAAAAATAAGGACAAATATATATAAGGACAAATTATATATTTGTTATATTTTTATTAAAAAATAATAAAAATCAAATCTAAAAAATTATATTTAAGTTTTCTCCTTATTTTATTTAATATATTAAATATTAAAAACTTATTTATTTTCAAAACTAAAAGTAGTTCGTTGCTTACACACCCATATAAGTAAGTGGGTTGGTCCCTGCCTATATATACGCATAATATATGAGTAATTCCTCATGCTACTTTAAACATAAAGCTTCTTCTAATCCATTTATTTGTATTTCATAATCATTATGGCTAAGGTAATTAATAACCCTCACCATATATATAAGTGAATATCTGTGTGTATTTTCATCAAATGAGTAATAAGTCTTTGATTGCAAAATGTTTGCAGAAAAAGGTAGTGATCGAAGTGAGTATGAAGAACCAAAAATCAAGGTCCATTGCCATGAAGATTGCAGTTGGAGTTTATGGTAATATGTTATTTCCCTCTGATTTTCTGACTATATATTAATTTTTAAAATTAAAAAATTAATTAGCTCAAAAACCAACACATGCAAAAAATATTCAGGAGTGGAAAGTGCAGCTATACAAGGAGATAACAAGGATCAAATAGAGGTAACTGGAGTAGGGATAGATTCAGTTGAGCTCACAAGGAAGCTAAGAAAGAACTTTTGCTATGCAAATTTGGTAAGTGTTGGTGATGTGGAAAAAAAGGAGGATAAGAAAGAAGAGAAAGAAGAGAAGAAAGAAGAGAAGAAGAAAGAAGAGGAAGTTGTGGTATGGTCTAATGGTGTTCCTGTTCCTCATTGTAACTGTTCCATCATAAGGGACCCGTATCAATATTATGAGGACCCTTATAAATGTTCCATCATGTGAATGTCATCAACAGCTTTCAAAAGAAGAATTCAATTATTTGTTATTATAAAATCAAGACATAAAGTATATATATATATATATATATATATATATATATATATATATATATATATATATATATATATATATATATATATATATATATATATATATATATATATATATATATATATATATATATATATATATATATATATATATATATATATATATATATATATATATATATATATATATATATATATATATATATATATATATATTTATACTATGAATTATGTGAATATATATATACTGTGAATATATATATATATATATATATACTTTTCCCCAAAGTTAACAAATTCGTCTGTCTACGTGTATAACATGCATGGATTTCATATAAACGACACATGAGATATAAAATAAAATCATGTTTCGTTTAAGATAAAATACTCATTTTGATTTTTAATTATACTTTAAGATTTAGATTGATCTCTTAATTTTTTTTTTTGTATTATTTTAGTTTTTTAACTTTCAAAATGTTTTATTTTAGTCTTTTTTTATATTTAATTAGCGATAGATTTAACGACGAATTTTAAAGTTTTTTCATTGTTAATTAGACAAAGGACTAAAATAAAACGTTTTGAAAGTTAAGAGATCAAAATGACACGGAAAAAAATTAAAGAACTAATCTAAACCCAAAAATATAATTAAGAAACCAAAATAAATATTTTATCTTCTTTTAATAATTAGATATAAAACTTAGATATGTTTTGGCCCTTTCAAACATTTCAATAATTGTTTTTTTGTTCTTTAAGAAAATATTGCAACTACTTGTCCTTCTATATTATTCCTCTTTAATTTTAGTTCCCGCTTAAATGTTATGATGTGGTAGCAGATTTGATATATATTTTTTTAATGAAACTATGTTGATGACTAGTGATGATTAGGCATTGCCACTTGCTCACAAACCTAAATATAAATTATTTGGGTACATTCTCATTAAACTATAATACTATTTTAACTATGTTATACAGGCGTTTTCTGATTTATTCCATTATAATTTTTTTTATAAAACCAATCTTATTACTTGAAAATTATGTAGTTTTAAATTTTGTAATTTCTTTTATTAAAATCAATTTTATTATTTGAAGATTTTTCCATTTTAAATTATATAATTTTTTTTTGGGTTAAATATGTAAAAGATTGTTATGGTTAGTAAAATATTATTTCAATTTCTTTCCTCTTACTATTTGGCGTTCTATTGTTTACGGTTCCATTCCAAATCAATCCATCTTCATCAACAACAACGTCCTTTTCTCTTACATATCCCACAATAACTTTATTGATGCACGCAAGGTGTTCAACGAAATACGTCCACAAAAAAAAACACTAAATCTTATCTGCAGTGGGAAGATTTAAAGAGTGTACTCTCAAATTTAAGTGCTAGAAAATTACATCACAGAACAATTTCATAAAGATGGAAATCTAAAATATCCTTAACAAGTGCTTCATGCCACTAAAGATATCTTGTAAAGTTCAAGAGCTTGGTTTCAGTGTGTTTCCAATATCAATCATGAATTGATATTTCAAGTCTACTTTAACAAGACACTCCGTTGTTGTGTAGATATACTTTCAATTAAACTTCCAGCTACTAATAGGAAGCTCTAGGGGTTTTGACACCACACCAACCATTACAAGCTTTCCATAATTTATTACTAATAAATTTCACTGTTAAATCCAACTGTTAAATTTGAAGTTCTTACTAATAAATTTCACAAAGTGTTTGGTTTAATGCAACTGAAAAACAACCTGCTTAACCATGTTTTTTACTACTACTTATTTAGGTTACTCCTCGTGAAAACAAATTAGCAGTAATGATGACTTTAATAAATTTTCTTTCACTAGATGATTAAACATAACCAAGGATTACGAAATCTAAAATATAGTCATCTAACAATGAGACACTTGACGTTGTATTATTAGTAATCCAAAATATTAGTGCAGGACATGCCGACTCTCATAATTGTATCGACACACTGAATTTGTAGATTTGTATATTATTGTGAATATATGTTGGTTTCTTGGATCATTGGTATTGATGGTTGTTATACTCCAAAAAGATTTCCTTCTAATTTCTTTATCTTACTTAGACTTGACATTGCATTTACATCTTATCATTAGGTCATCTGCATTAACATGACATACATTTACATTTAATAAAGCGCCTGAGGTTCGAAGTTCAGTGGTTGCATGAGCTAGGGTTTTCACGGTGTTTTGAGGTGTACAGATCAAGTAAGCTTGAATCATCTGGGTCTCTTATGAAGCATGGATTGTGGAAGTAGGGTTTTGATATAGTTATTCATTGTGGATTTCTTTCTCATCAAATTACAAGGTAAGATTTATCAAAGGCAAGTGTATAGGATTTTATCAATGTTTCAATTGAGAGTGGAGTTAGGATTTTGGCTTTTCTCTACATCTCAAGTCATTTCTTCATCGACGTATATTCAAGGCATGAGATTAGGGGTTTAATTTCATCAAAAAATTTCTCAAAGGCATTACTTTTGTGTTGATATCATTGGTCATCAAGTCAAGATGTGAACCATGGTGCAAGATGTTGAACTTGATGATTCTGTGTGTTTAAGGCATCATTATTCTTTCAACTATTGATGTGTATTGGATTTATTTTTTCATGGTATAATTGACTTAAGGGTTTATATGGGCTATGAATGCAATATTTCCAAGTGATAACACGTAGTGTGATTCGAGGTATTAGTCCATGGATTCTTTATGGTATCAAGGATCTCAAGCACTTATTTCAATCATGATGTCAAGAATTAATTCAAGGAAGGTTGAAAGATCCATTCATGGTTAATCTCTTGAATTCAAGTTACAAGTTACAAAGGAAATATAATTTAAAGAATTAGAAGTTTCAACATCATCTAAGATCAATTCAACTTCATTTTCATTCCTCACTTTACATCATACCATGTTACATTAAAACCAATAATAATGCAAGAAGTTCAAATTACAAATATCATGGACATTGCAAGAATTTGCAAAAGACCACATGTGAGAATATAAAACCTAGCCTGCCATGCTCTCCATCTTCACGCCATTAACCAAAATTCAACCCTTTCTTCAAGCCGTGGCCTTGGTCCTTCCAGATAGATCCTAAAACTCTTCATGGTCAAGTGATTTTCACCAACTTTATGCTCCAACCTGTCCGAAGAAACTCTAGAAAATCTGTCCAAAACACTTAATTCATACCAAAATTCAATGTTAATTCCATACTTGATAATGCCATGAGCCCGTTCATAAACCAGCCCTGCATCAAATATCATAAGTTAGTAAAAAACCAATACCTATGTCGTGGCATAAAGTCCAGTTCGATTATTGTATTGAAAACAACACCAAGCAAAACCAAACTCTCCCTGCAAATATAAAAAAAAACAGAAGATAAATAGAGAGGCATCTCCATTCTTCGCATTCTGAAGAATTACACAAGAATCACACATCTTCATCATCATTCACCACCTACCTTTCATCACCAGAAAAAGCTTCAAATCCTTCTTCTTTTTCTGGACGATCTTCCAATTCTCTGCAATCATCATCACCAACAAGAATCACTGAATCTCATACCATTCCTTCTTTGAATCCCCTTCATAGTTCATCTGCAAATCACATATCATCACCTTCGCTGCAATTTCAACAAACCACCAGCATCAATCTTCATCACGTGTACGAACCTTCAACAATCACCAAGAAATTTCATAAAAAACACAATCCACAACCATCATATTCAAGCATCATCTTCAACAATCTGTAACGCCAAAAGCGCGCATAAGAAATCACAAGAAGAAACTTGATTTTCACAAATACGCGGAAGAGGAGTTTTGAGAGGAAGAAGAGGTCACACAGGGAAATTAAGAGAGATTGTACCTGAGCCTTTACTTCTTGATTGAGATTGAAAATCGAAGGTTTGAATCCGCGAGGACAAGCTATCTAAGTGCAGCGAACTCAGAGGCGATTCTTCATCTCGTAGGTTGGTCCGTTCACAAATTTTCACCGTTTTCATGCTTGAATGCATCTTGGACTTACATCAACGCTTCCTCTAAGGCCTTAGATTGATATCTCGCACCGTAGCCTCCTATTTCTATTGGTGAAAGTTCTAGGTTTTGTTCCTGATTCATTAAAAAATTTGGAGCGTGACAAAGAGAAGAGGTGACAAAGGTGATGAACGTCGCGGTTGTGTGTGGTTTTCACGGTGAAGTAGACAATCAGAGAAGGTGAGGTGAAACAATGGTGAGGACGAAGCCGGAGTGGAACCAGGATAAGATGGAGAGGCGAACAGAGTTGGGACGGAGGGTTGGAATTAGCACCATCGCGCTATGTTTGAAACGAGACAGGGGGATAGGGAATCAGAAACGACGACATTTGAGAGGAGAATGCCGTTCGCGGCTTGTTGAGGTTGAGAGAAGAAGAAGTTCAAACTTCCCTCTCCAAACCCTATGTGACCATACGCTGCGCTTCAAGTATTTCTGTTTCAATTATTGTTCTTTTTCCATAAGTAAATATTGGATAAAATCTGATTGGGTTATGTGATAGTGGTTGTGGATCTGGGCCAAATTCTACTAGGCCTATATGCGTTTTGGTAAAAATCCCCTGCTAGAAAAAATTATGTATTGGATCCATTCAAAATTGGCCCCGCACCATTTGCTATACACCCTTCCTGATCTTTGTACCACCTTTATTTTTTGTTCTTAATTTCGTACAATTAATTCCTCGAGTTGCTTGTATGAATTTTGGCTGATTTTTTGTGTGAACATTAGTATGTTGATTTCAGATTTGGATATATTTTTTCCATGATTTTTTTTATTATTTTAGGATTTAATTGACTAATGTTTGAGAAATGGTTAGAATTAGGTTTTTATGTCATTCTTGTCAATTCTGTATCCTTGATTCAATTTCCTTAGTGTGATAAGAGGTTTAATGGTAGATTCTGAGTCTTGAATGAT